CAGCCGAGTCCACAGGTTGGGGTTGGGATCTACACAATGTGTTTGGTAAAAAAATAAAAGAGACAAAGATAATATTCTAGTTAATATAAATAACAAAAGAGTCAAACAGAGGTGTTTTATAAATTATATTATAATAATAATGATTATTATTATTATTATTCTCTTAGTATTTTATATTTTAAATAGCAAAAAATACGATTTACATACTTTTAACAGCAAGTTAAACGGTATAAGGTGTTCTTAATTAATATTTTTAGTTATTGTTTATTTTTAAATTAAAACTATCCAACTATAGTTCTTAAGTTTTTAAAGTACCAAGTATAATTATTTATAACAGAGTTTAATACTCAATTAAGAGTAATTATAGTGTTACGAATATATTTTTAATCACCTAAATATTATATAAATAAAATTAAAATTAGTACATAATATATAAACAATAAAATCGAAGTGCCTCAGAGAAAGCAACGTTTAATTATAATAAATGGAAATATATTATAAGATATATTATTAAATATCGGTGCATAATAAAAAATAATAATAATTCTTGTTGATTAATGACCAATTTGTATAATATTATATACTATTTGGTAATATATAAAAACCCTAATACTAAGATAGTGGTCACTAAAACTTCTTAGGTACCAAAAAGTAGCTTAAACACAATTACAAAATTTCAAAATGGGTAAAATTGTTTGTCATATTTGTGATGTGTAAAATAGAAACATAAAATTGCGAATTAATACCAAAGTCTAAAAAGGTCCTCTGCTGTACAGTTGACTGTAAACTGTGCCCATGTATCTTAAATATTTTTCAACTGATATTGAATATATAAACATTCAGTGAAATTTTCATGTATCCACAGTTATTCGTTTTTAAATTACAACAAAATAAGGAAATCGCTACATCATGAGAAATCGAGTGAATATTCAATGCTGTAAAAATTTGAATTTCAAACGCTCATAAAAATTTAATTTGACTTTCTTATAGAAATTTTTTTTTAATAAAGGTAGATAATCTTATAAGGAATCTTGTATTACATTTTAAAACCTTAGATTTAAAAAAAAAAATTTTTACGAATTCTTAACTCAAAATAAAATTATTTTGCTAATTTTCTTGATTTTTCCATATTTTGTCATTTTTTGAACTTTAAATGCTTAAAAAAAAAACTGTCTAAGGATTTTTAATATTTTTCAAATGCCATTGTAACAATATAGTAGGAGCCTTGTATTAAATTTTCAAGTTTTTTTAAAAAACAAATAAAATTTAATTGATATTTTTAGAAAAAAACAAAAAAAAAAATGGAAAATGAAAATGATGTGCCTAAACAGTTTAAAATAAATCAAAACATATAGAAAATTCTAATATAAACATTCAGTCAAAATGTCATGTACCTACGGTCATTTGTTTAAGAGTTGCACCAAAAACCAAAATCGATTTTTTCAAAAACAGATTTTAGTGTAAAAATTCCCGGTTTTCCTTAATTTTTATTTTGTTTTTCACGCCGCTTTTGAAAACTACTGGGAAATTTTCACTTTTGATCCCCCCAAAGTACCAACTAGATTCACTTTCCTATCAGAAAAGATACTGTTGAAGAAAATCCGAACACTTTTACTATCCTAAAACGTGTTGACAGACACAAAAAAAAAGTTAAAAAAAAAAGTAAAAAAAAAAAACTTTTGTAAAAATTATGTAAAATCAATACATCCATCGTTCTACTCAAAATCTAAAATATAAACGAGACCACTCGGCCACTCAGTCCCTCTTTGGTTTATTGTATGGTTAATATTGGTTATGATTGAATAATGAATATAATCTTAGACCTGTAGCTATATAGCTTAGTAAAAACGGTATTCCAAAGACAAATTTTCGACACATGCACATCGTAATATCATCGTGTTAAGAAAACATTCGTAATTACATACTCACTTCGAGGAGTCTGCAATCCACTCAGGTGGATTGCCTACCTGAAGACATACTACTTGTCTCACGCATACAATACATACAAACGTGTCTCTCAATTAATAATATAATCGATGAAAATTTTTAAGTTTTGAACATCATACACCGAGTATTTAATAAATTAATTGAACAAAGTTTGAATCATAAACAGTTGGTACATAATTTAAAAAGGAACGAAGTGAACGGGATCAGCTATAATACATATACAATTAATGTTTTTGAGTCTTTGAACTTATGTACATGAGTTATAATATTGACTATTGCCAACTATTTCACCTGAGGTAACTTTTTTCCGGGCAACACCGTGTTTGACAGCTAGTGTAATATATTATACTTATGCATTTTGAAGTATCAAATACTTTTTTTATTTTTTTTTTAAATAGCGTAGACCCGCAAATAATTTTGTAGTTAAGATTACTTAAAATTATTAATTATTAATAATATATAAACCATAATAAATAAACCATTTTTTTGCAATCATATTTTTTTTTATTATATTATGGATATCCAAAAAACACAATGTATTCCAGAATTCGACCGGAAGTGGTGGTTATTTTTTTACAAAATTATTTTCGCCTGCTGGCAACGGTTTCCGAGATAGGAGCTACCAGTTGTAGTGGACACAAACAATATACAGGCCACAGGGTGTATCTTATGTCATTGTACGCGGGGTTTTTTTGACGATTACGGAACGATGATATGGAATTTCAATAAAACGAAAAAAGACGTGTCTTTATATTTTTAACAAGCAATTTTTTATAACAATTTCAAAATTTTTAAACACGCAGGTGTACCAATAGCAAAATCAACCTTTTTTTTTTCAAATGGTAACTACTATATTTTTTTAATGGATTCTGGTAAAGCTTTTTTTTCTGAACATTTTGGTAGTCAAATCATCAATTTTGGTTCTCTAGTTTATTAACTATGGTCCTCCAAATATTAGTAAAATATGCATTAATACTTATAGTTGAAATAATGGGTATAGGTTTAATTTACAAGCGCTAAACAATTTTTTCTTATAACTACCATTTGATACACTACAATAGTAGAATCGGTAATCTATGACATACTCAAAAAAAAAAAATATCAAACACAATTGTTTGTAAACATACTTCATTATTTTTATTTTAACATACGATCATAAAAATCAATATGATTATTTTAATTTATTATTATAATCGTAATTAATTACTTTACATTTTTTTCATCACAGTTACTTTTCTTACTTTATCATAAATTTAAATACTTAATTAGGTGGTTAAGGTAATAATGGTATTTGATTATTATAATAATATTGTAAATCTGTAATTAACTCAGATTAAAGGTACGTACCTAAATATTAGGTACCTATATTAATATCGACTATTTATGTAAATATCTTGCAATTAATGGTTTGTTTTAAATCATAATTATTTAAAGACTTTTGTTATCTCACTTATTTTTATTATTGTTAACTTGTTGTACAAATCAGTATAAGTTTTAATTAAATTGAGCTTTTCATTAGTACCTATTCAGAATTTTAGTTCAATAGGATATTTTATTGTGTAAGTTGTTTTTAAATGAATAAGTACCTATAATAATGTATTTGATTGCAGAGCGTGTGGAGATAATTTTTTTGTATGGTTCGACCAATAAATGTCTCACCGAAACTGCTAGACAGTTTAATGTTTTGCATCCAGGTAAAAATTAAATTATACACATTTATTTATTTAAAATAAGCTAAGGAATGTATTTAATAGTTACTGTAATTTCTATTAATATTTTATTCATTTTTTTTTATCATAGAAAAAAATGTTCAAAAATCGTACGTCAAACATCTTGTTGACAAGTTTCGTGAAACTGGTAGTGTTCAAGACAAAAAAAAGACTGGACGAAACTCTGCAACTTTATTGGTCGAACCATACAAAAAATTATCTCCACACGCTCTTCAATCGAATACATTATTATAGGTACTTATTCATTTAAAAACAACTTACACAATAAAATATCCTATTGAACTAAAATTCTGAATAGGTACTAATGAAAAGCTCAATTTAATTAAAACTTATACTGATTTGTACAACAAGTTAACAATAATAAAAATAAGTGAGATAACAAAAGTCTTTAAATAATTATGATTTAAAATAAACCATTATTTGCTAGATATTTACATAAATAGTCTATATTAATATACCTGTTATTTTGGTACGTACCTTTAATCTGAGTTAATTACAGATTTCCAATATTATTATAATAATCAAATACTATTATTACCTTAATCACCTAATTAAGTATTTAAATTTATGATATTGTAAGAAAAGTAACTGTGATGAAAAAAATGTAAAGTAATTAATTACGATTATAATAATAAATTAAAGTAATAATATTGATTTTTATGATCGTATGTTAAAATAAAAATAATGAAGTATGTTTACAAACAATTGCGTTTGTTATTTTTTTTTTTTTTTGATGGTGTCATTAGATTACCGATTCAACTATTGTAGTTTATAGAATGGTATAGTTATAAGAAAAAATTGTTTAGCGCTTGTAAATTAAGCCTATACCCATTATTTCAATTAAAAGTATTAATGCATATTTTACTAATCTTTGGAGAACCATAGTTAATAAACTAGCTAACCAAAATTGACGATTTGACTACCAAAATGATCAGAAAAAAAAGCTTTACCAGAATCCATTAAAAAATATAGTAGTTACCATATGAAAAAAAAGTAGATTTTGCTATTGGTACACCTGGGTGCTTAAAAACTTTGAAATTGTTATAAAAAAATTGCTTGTTAAAAATAAAGAAACACGTCATTTTTTCATTTTAACGAAATTCCATATCATCGTTCCGTAATTGTCAAAAAACCCCGAATACAATGACATAATATACACTCTGTATATACAACGTAGGTAAGTATCGTGTATCTTCCTCTGAGAGTCAATGGGTCTTTATCGTCATTATCATAAAATCGTCTGCAAACGAGATAACTCACGGTATCCATCTTTAAAAGGCTCCATGGGGTCGTAATTGCACACACTACATCACTTTTAAACATTCATTCCAACGGTGTGTCTGTTGCTCGACGCCGTACACGTCGACCGCCGCCGCAACAAAACAACTTTCTGCCTGCACTTAGAAGACGCCTCCCGAGTGCCGACAGGAACGATCTACGCTTTTTTGGCGTCGGCTCAGTGCAAATCACTTGCTCCATATCGCTCCAGAGACTCGAAGAGTTCTCGACTTCGTCCGTCGGTTCCATTGGGTCAGACGTCTCCTCGACGGCTGTCTCGTTGACCAGTTCTGAGCCGGACATACCCACCACTCCTGTGTCCTGCTTCAGGGACGCCCGATCTTCAAGAAAATGTCTAGTGCTCACTGCAACTAGTTCTCTAGAAGAATCGAACTGGTGCAGCAGGATTTCTTCTGGATCGTCGCCGTGGATGTCGTCTGTAACGTCAGACTCGGAGGAATTCATCCGTTCCACAGCCGAGTACACTGTGATCTCGTCAACCAGCTGGTCGAGCAATCCTCTCGGCGAGATTTCCAATGACTCGTCGACGATTGACGATCCATCTCTTTCGACCATGCTGTTGTCGTCCACAATGATCGAGTGATCTCTCGGATCCAACATCCAATGAACCTGATCTAAAACGTCGTCCACCAACTCCGTGGCCGCGGCTATGATCAGGTTCATCCTCTCAACATCTCCTCCGCCAAATCCATTTTGCATCGTCTGTCGATTATGTTCCATGGTGGAGTAGGTAAATTGTATATATTTTATTTATAATTATTTATAAGCAAATATCAAAATATGGTCTGTACAAATTAAACACGTTAATGAAACGAAAACCAGTGTTACTATTATAATATGTTATACAGTTAATGTCTCTAAGACAACATAGAAAATGTAATTGTTTTGTAATCGGCCTGTTATTACTTTTTTTTCTAAATATCAAATAATATAATATATCTATATTATATATATATAATAAATTCTATCTATTTATGGATATTATAAATTATAGAATATTCAATATAAGTATAATGTTATATTTTAAAAATTATGAATAGTTTGGACAGTCAAACATTTGTCTTAAATTATCTTACTATATATATTATTACCTACTTTTTATTATATGATAAAGAGGCAGCGTTCGTTTGTTTGTCCTCAAAAATCTCAAAAACTACTCAACTGATTTTGAAAATTCTTTCACCAGTAGAAAGCTGCATTGTTCCCGAGTGAAATAGGCTACTTTTTTTCGCGAAAATAAAACTTGAAAAGGGTGAAATATTGGTAAAGTGGGAATAAACTGGTTTTGCCACCTGCAGTTGGATTAAGTAAAAACGATAAGCTTGGAATAACTTTGATACCTTAGAGTTAAATTATATATTTAAGTACACACCCTATGGGGTCCGCAATCACCGGTAGATTGCCTACCTGATAATAAACTACCTTCGCATAATCACAAGCTAGTCTCAGCGGCGGGAAAGTACCAACTAGATTCAATTTCCTATCAGAAAAGCTACTGTTGAAGAAAATCCAAGCACTTTTACTGCCCTAAACCGTGATGACAGACACAAAAAAAAATAAAAATAAAAAAAAAAACACACATCATTGTAAAATCAATACATTCATCGTTTCACTCAGAATCTAAAATAATTTAATAACAAATCAGATTTTCTGATGTTAAACTTTATTTTAAAATATCATATACCTAATAAAATATCTTTAACAAATAATTCATAAAATAATGGTCAGTAGTACAAAAAAAATGGTTACTGGAAAAAAAGTTATTCTTATTACTTATTACTTATTAATAAGATCACTGAAATTATATTTTATCTTAGTTGGTCATTTGTCTAATGATTATCTTTTTATGCATTTTTATTTTGTGATACTAAATGAGTTTGATTAATTTAATTTTCTTCTTTACAAATGTTAAATAATTTTTGTTCATTGCAATTTACTAAGTTAAGTACTTACTCTGAAAAATAACAGCTGAAAATATGGTTGGAACTTTCTTATTATAAGACAAAATACACGGAATAGTGTATTTGAGGAACGTTCAACGATTGATTTCGGTATTTATTTAATACAGTTAATGGATTTTTTTCACAGAACATTGTTTCTGCAATATAATATACATTAGAAACTCGAGGGCCAAAATTCTCAATAAGTTGAAAGAAAATAAATCCCCTTTATTTACTTTATATACGCATAATAAATATATATAATGGTACTACCATTATATAGTTCTTTATAATATATTTTTAATTTTATAGGTATTCTATATCATAAGTTTATTTTTTTTTCAACTGGATTTAGTGTGTAGAGATTATATTATTATACGTCCGTAGTAAAATATGTTGAACTTATTTACTGTTTCAAAAACACTATTTATCAATATTTACGTCGTATTTTATGAATATACTTACTCGAAACTTCGAAGAGGCTTCAATATTAATAAATCATAATATCCGTACCGCGTAAGTAATCAAATTCAGAGGTTTTACGCAGATTTGATATTTTTAATAACTATTTTTTTGGGGGGGGGGGATTGGGCTGCGGCAACTATGCGATATGTATTAAAATTCACTAAGTACGCATACAAAACAGGCTAATTGCGGTCGGCGTTGAGCGGTGGAGGTGTAATATTTAACGGTTACGATGCAACATGAACATCGAAGGAATTACCGGAGGACTGCGGTTCGGTAATTAATCTCGTTCAACGGTGATGTTGGTAATCAGTCGGTTGTTAGTCATTACTAAACCTTTAACAAGGCCAGCGGAACTTTGGTGTCGTCATCTGCTAGTATGTGTGTGTGAGGAGCGATGGTGGTGGAATATGTAGGGGTGAGGTTAGTTTGTGCCCCCGAGTAAGTTTTCTACGGGGAGCACGCGTCCCCTTAAACGTCGTTTGCCATCATCAAGTCGTCTAACGTCGCAAGAGACGGTACAAAGTTTACGTAAAATATGTCCGTAGAGTTTCGTGTGGACTCGGTGTTTTAGTTGCGCACCATTCACACTCAGCCATTATATTATAAACACATGGAATATAATATACTATATATACAACATAATAATTTATTATTAATGCACATAATATAAACGTATAAGACCGTCGAAATCAACAAGCCAGACTTGGCTAGATGAGTTTATTTGTGTGCGTGTGTGTGTGTGTGCGCGTGTGTGTGTGTCTCTCTCTCTCTCTCTCTCTCTCTAGTAATAAATAATAAAAACACTATTATACTCGTAGATAATAAAGAAATGGATGGACCTAACCATAAATAATGTATGCGCCCGAATAGAGAGCACGACGTATTGACGTTACCACGAGGTAACAGTGGTTATTGAAATATTATGATAATCAGCAATCAATACCAAACGAAAAAATATCAAATAAAAATAAGGTGTAAATATACCAAACTAATATTGTTTCTAAACAGGTGAATTCCATTAAAGCTATCTAATTTTACTAAATTATTATTATTAAAACAACATTAATATTATTGTAAAAATTAATTTTTTTTAATGTTATCAATGTTATTGCCTATTGTCACAGACCAATATTATCAACTCGTAATAACCATACAGTAACCACAGCAAACCAATGTGGTATCTGGTATCAACGTGGTACCTTTTTGGACACACTATACATTCCGTGTGTTGTAGGACGTATAGGGAGGACCAGCCATTTCTTTATTATCTATGATTATATTTTCACCCAGTAATTACCTATGATCGAGGAGGACCTGTAATCGGCGTAATCGTGGTAGTCAGCTTTATGATTTAGGAACCCAGGTATGGTGGATAGACACGTCAGTTGAACCTCGGCCCCTAGTTTATCCGACACTGGAAATGTGAGCCTCATTGCGGATGCTGAGTCCAACGCTGCCTTAACGATTGGTTTCATGTACGTATCCGGTGGCTGAAAAAAATGTGTTTGCAGTGGTTTATTATGAGTATATAGTAAGTATAGAATAAAAAATGCACTTCGATGTTATATTAATAGGAAATGCACTTTTTATGTAGTGCAAATAATATTATTTATTGAACACTTATATTAATATGCACCTATTGTCTATAATATGGACGGGTTTCGCGAGAAAATGCTCTAGTCAAAAATCACTAGTTTTCAAGAGACACGAAAACGTTTAGTTAGACATTTTTTTTGCTTATTGTTAATTTATTTTTTTTTAGTTTATATGATTTATAATTTATTTATAGTTTATTCTTTAGTAAATTATTTAAATTCAGTGTTGATATTTTTGATTTATCGTAACTTAATTATGCTAAATAACTCGTGACCGATATCACATTGAAATTAATAATTTCTTGACTTGTGCTATTTCACGTGTCATAGTGATTTGTATTAAATCGTATGAAAAAAATCATAATTTTTTGTGAGACAGGACGATATTTTATTTATATAATACTGGCCAGTAAGTAATATTATTATTATTTTTATACAAAAATACAAAAACAGTTTATTGTCAGGTCTAACAAATTACAGACATTATAAAATATTTATGATTTTGATCATGAAAAAGCAAAAAAAAAAACAATGACAGGTGTCAAAAGTTTATAACTTTTTAACCCACTTAATACAATAATATAGTCACTGTAGAGTTTAGTTTTCTTGTGCCAAAAATTAAATGCATTGACTTTTTAATGTCATAAAGATCATAATAAAAATTTTATACTTTGGTGGCATTAATTACACTTATCACGTATACGTATATATTGGTGATTAAAATTGTCTTACGTAAGAATACAATTATTTTTATACTAATTTCTATAAATTAAACGCATTTAAATATGAATTTTCTATAAATAATTACTATAATTTCTATAAATTTAATATAAATATTTTACTTCATCCTATTAGTGTATCATTTCTATCGTTTTTGATTTCTTTGTCAGCCTATTTTAGAATATAGAATTGATTTATTTTAACTCTACCATTTTCATTGTGATTTTTACTATTAAAAGTTTCTTACCACATGAGTTTTATTTATTTAGCCGTTTTTTGGTAACACATTTTTAAGTCACGATTTGTCATATTTATTAAACTTTTTAGGTTTAGACACAGTACAGTGAAAATAAATGAATTGCTATTCACGGAAGGCAGTAGAAATAAATGTTCGTACTTTAAAGTATGAAAATAAATTCAAATCAGTATTTGACAAAAATTAATTTTTGTTTAATTTATAATTTCAACCTTTATCATTATCATCATATAAAATAATAAACGCCACATGGTTTACGCATATGTCAGATTTAACTGGATTTGATATGTTACATATAAATGCAAATAATTGTATTAAATATTACGTCAGAAGTATTGTGTTGAATAAAAATAATATAAATTCCCATTTCAACAATTTTCTATTTAAATATACTCTGCCGGTAAAATGTAATAAATCCATTCATAATGTTGGTACATTCAATCACTTGATCATAATCATTTCAAACTTATAGGTACCTACCTAATATTACTCATATAAAATGTTATTAAATATTTATGCATTAAAGTTAGATTAATATTTTGTTTAATTTGTTAGGTAGGTATGAAAAATGTATTTTAATAATAACGGAACTGTAAATTAACCAACAAGTGTCAAATGAGCAGACGAAATTACTGGCCAAAAGCCAGCCAGAGAAAAGCGGTGACTAATATTGGAAGGCATGCTCGATTTTGACTACCTGATTCCGTACCTACTACATGGTTATGGGTTAGGTTAGGTCAGAAACCAGATTGTATGAGTTTTATAAATCAATAACTATTGTGACATAACTATTGGTACATATTATTATTATAATTATATTTACGACATCTCCGGGTCAACAAAAATAATTTGATTCTACTGGGTTGGCTGTTGCAGACAGTTGAAACGATTGGTTGTCGCCCTCTAGCTATAGTGAATATCATCGTTTTAATATAATAATATTATGTTAACTTTCGACTATTCACCTTTGCGCGTGTGTTATTATTATGTTATTACAGTTTAATATTTTTATTTCTTCATATTCCCAAAACCATGAACATCACGACAAAATAACTTTTGATTTGTAAAAATTATATTATGTTGTTTTCCACAAAAAAATATGGTATTTTTTGCTAATATTATTATTTTATTATTTTTCCCGTACAGTTTTCTAAACAATCTACCGACAACTGAAAAAATAACATGTTTTTTTCACATCATACTTGATTCATGTGTACTTGATCGGTATTATTTAACAATTTTTAAATTTGTATTGCGTTTTCAACACAAAAAAAAAAACTGTCATTGTATCTACATAATGTTATGAATACACGTTATATTATTATGCTGTACAAATTTAAATTAAAAACTTAAAAAGAAAAATATTATGTAATAATAATAAATATTATGTTTCGTTTTTATTATGTTATAAAGATAGTATTACATTTTTTTTTTTTTGAACGGCATTTATAGCCATCGTATATATTCGTATACCTTGGTATAAAATTTAAATTATTTTTTCAAGTGTTTATGCATTTAACGGGTACAGTGAATGTATAGCATAATATTCCAATACGTTAGAGTTAAAATTACAGCTGGGTTATGAATGAAAACTTATTTATTCTGAATTTGGTGGAAATCTGGGTACCTGAGGTAGTTTATTTTGATGGTCTTGTGACCCTGCGGGCATTAAATATATGAAGATGTGGAGCTAAAAGCCCGCGAGAACGCATCATTTCAATGAATCATGCCAAATTCTGTGCACGCTTACTCGCTACATAATTTACCGTTATTGCTATCGCACATGTTTTACTGTTTCCAAAGGCACTAAAAAAATTATCCATATACTAGTTATTCACTAAATAAAAAATTTAAAAATATAAGATTTACAAGTTCATTAATAAACATAATACTGCTAGTTATTATTTATTGTAATTCAAGTATTTTTCAATCTAAACTGCAACTTGTGAGATCACGATGTTTCCATCTTAAAAGTATGGTTTTAAGTTTCATGTCACGTTTTAAAAGCTCGAATGTATATACCATATTAGAAATTATTGGGATACCTACCATAATTTTACAGATAACATTTTTACTAAAGCAATTTCTATTTAAAATGAATATTATCATTTTTTCCTTATTGGATATAAAAAGTCACTAAAATAAGTCTATTTGAATTTTATAGAATTTTAAGCACTTATCATCTTGTTGAAAATATATTGCCAATAATATATTATTTTAGTTTAAAAGCCATTAGCTAAAAATATATTTTTATGCATAGTAAAAATGTATGGTATCCAATTGTTTTTTAACCCAACCTCAATATAGTTGGATTGACTTTTTATTTGTATTCTGTTTTATTGATGAAATGACCTTTAAAAATATATGTTCTTAAAAGTAAAACTAATTTTTGTTTTTAAAGGTCAACAAGTTATAATTTTTTTTGTTTGAAAACCTACATAATAAATATCTTAAATTTGCTTTTGTATAACGTTCTAAAGTTAGGCGAGTTATGTAATTACCTATACTATTTGGTCTATAACCAATGTATATAATAACTATAATGGGAACTTAAATTTTCAATTAATGATAATTTTTAAACACTAAATATAAAAATTTAATAAACCACCAAACCGAATGTAGTTATAAAATGTTGACGGATTACAAAATTTGATTCATAAGTACTACTGTGATTAATTTGCAATAACATTTTTGTCGAGTAAAATATATTATAATTCATATCATTAATACAATGATATAATAAAACCTTTCTTGTGGTTGTCTACCATATTGTTGTGCCTTACTTTGTGTCCACTATATTTTTTTTAATGTCTTACATTTTAATTAATTATTACCTTATTACATTTTTGGTAATTTACTATCCACATAGTTTTATATATTTTTATTTTTACATTATTAAATCCAAAATATTTTAATTTATATTTATATTTATAACTAGCTGATCCTGTGCACTTCGTTGCCCGTTAAATGTATCAACTCTATATGACTTAACCTTTGTTCAATTTGTTATTTAATATTCGGTGTATGGTGTTCAAAATTTATCTTAACTTTTCCGTTGCCCGGAATAAAAATTTTGATTCGCAGCAGTACATTATTAGGTAGGTAATCTACCTGCGGTAGAACGTAGACCCCGTGCTGTTTGTACCAAGTTTGTCGTTTTTACTTAATTTCACTTACAGTGGATTAATATAATAAATTTATAAAAAACCCTATCCTAACCTAACCGTACTAAAATCCGATGAATAAGACCGATAATAAATGAACACTAATTTCTACTGTTTACTGTAATCAATGGGAACTATTAATAAATAAAAAAAATTTCCAATGTGAACCTCAATGTCCCTGTTTGAGCGCATCTTTAAAATGCGAATTTTGGCAAATCCTTTCTTATTGCACTGTGAAAGTATTAGAAGAACTTCTATTCCAAATTTCAAGTTCGTACGTTGTGTAGTTTTTGAGTTACAGCGATCAGTATCTAAGTGATATTTGGATTTTATATGTATAGATTATGAAGAAACAGAAACATATTATTATAGTAAGAACGAAAGAGAATCAAAATTAACCTGTGTACCAAGAAGAATCATTGTAATCTTGAATAAACTTAGCCAGGGGTATTTCTATCGTAAAGTTTGACCTACATAGAGGATGATAAATGAAAAGTGTCCTGCTGTCTAGACGGTGTTGATTGGTACCATCCAATCATTTAACAATCCTCAAACAAAGCGTCTACCTAGGTTATAATATGTATAGCTATAATAATATTATATAGGTAGATATCATGTAACCGTGACGGCCAACGAGGTACAGAATTAAAATTTTTCGGAGAGAGCTATCCATCTATAATACTTATAAATTATAATCAATACTGATAACCCATTTAACCAATAATAATGTTCATTATATCTGTTTGATATTCTGAGTTCTGACTTCCTGCATCATTGTTTGTCAGCTATATATTTTACTTTATGTATTGATCGATAATTTTGATTGTTGGCGGTGTCTTATAAATTCTTATGTTTATCGATCAACACAAACCTCAAAATTCAGCAAGAACAAAAGTTGGGGGATTTCAAAAATGAAATATATTATATATTATATATATTATGTTTATTTTCATTATATTGTATAATAGTTCGGGGCACACAAGTTGAGGGGAGTGTGGTGGGCCCCAAGGGTCTGCGCATTATTATTTATTTCATCCCTCACCCATTAAACAAATTCCTAAATATACCACCGATCTACTGATCTGAGTGTCGGATGCTGTGAAGGGTGACCACACCACGATCGTTCCATGTTCTAACTTACCAGGGTTGTACGCGGGGGGAGGGGGGGCAAGAAGTTAATAAGTTTCAGAAAGCTTCCCCGAGTGCCACCGAATAATGACAAGAACATCTCGTAACGATTTATTGACTATAATAGTCAACATAAGGACAGAAGTCAAGGGATAGGACATAATAATATAGGAACCCAATATATTTTACTTGGTTCACGTGTTCCTGTGACAGTTCGTTGAGGTAATAATCGGAATCAATGCCTCACACGTCGGATGAAACTACATTACAACAATGTATGTTTATACGTTTCTAATAATATTTTTTATTAATATAATATTATTTATTAAACCTGGATAAAATATCACTTATTATTATTATAATATGTTATTACGTATAAGTATAATAATTATTATGGCTAAAAGAAATTAATAAAAATAGTTTTGAATGTTAACACGCAATAATATTATTATTAATTTCCCTTTTTTTTCAGAAGTTTGAAAATATAAAATATGATAGTGTTTGCATGACACTGACGCATCAGATTTGCCTACACGGAACGCCGTGTAACAACTTTATCATTAAATCTAGGAATTTAATTAAATTAAACTTTTCTTTACAAACACGATAATTTCATTGTTTATTTAGATATCTGTAACTATATATTTATATTGTACTATAGTCGAACGTGTCCTGACTGACTGATCAACGCAGAGTCTAAACTATGATATCTAGAGACTTTAAATGTTCACAGAACCTTCATACCACCATATAAGGGTGCAATAAGAAATTTTCTGAAATTCATATTTAAAAAAGGAGCTTATACAACATTTTAGGATCTGCAATGGAAATCGAAAACTGATTTTTGTCCATACAATGGTTTTAGATTATAAAAGTAATAGTAGAAATTAGTATTTTTTGTATACCCAAAAATGATTGCCTTTGGTTACTCAGGCAGACGAGGTTAAACCATTCATCAAATACGCGATTACTCGGACTCGTTTAAAGAAACTATAACCTAAGACTAAACGTATGTTTATCGCTTAGGTATATTATAAAGGTACTCAAAAACTACTCGACTGATTTTAACGAAAATCTCAGAGATATCAGAAAAAAATGAAGAGAGTAGTTTCAACCACATTAAAAAAATACCGAGTGCTAAATCATTCAACCTAGATCGAATTATGTTTCACCTATAGAGCAATGTATTTCATATATTTTATTCACGTTTTATCGGGTGAAGTCTGGATCGATGGTCCCGACAGCGCCTGGCGGGACTATAGTCTAGTAGTAATAAGCGAACAAAGAAATATAATTGGGCAGCGTATGGACTGTAAACCACATGACGTACAATGTACCCCTACACTTTACTAATTATGTCCGAAGTAAAAATTATCGAATATACACCGATATCCGTTTAGAGTCGACCGGCATGGCAACATGCTGCTACCTATTAATATTTTGTTTATTTTGTTTCAAATTACCCTTCGTCCATTGACTAGCCATGTGATTTCGGGCACAGGTTTCGAAGGTCCTGATGTGCACGTGGCGTCCAACATATCTCCCACGCTGAACACTTCTTTGAAGATTTCAATCGTAGGATCGATATTTTGAATTTCTGAAAAAAAAAATACATATAAATAATGTTTCCAATAGCATATGTATTGTATTTCAATAATTTTTTTTGTTTGACAAGAAATGTGCTTACTTATGACTGTAAGGTCGTGGTATTCCGATGTCTTACTGTATATTGGAGATTCCAAAGTTACCGTGCATGCGTACTGACCGGAAGCATCATGTTGTACGTCCATGAGTGCCAACTCTGAAGGTTTTGTCTGACCCCACTAAAAACGTGTACAGACAAATATTATAATATTTAAATATACATTTGTTTATGTGTTCCATGGTTTGTGTTAGTTATTTGAAAAAAAAAATCAGAAAATTAAAAATCGTAGTTAATATGTATGTGTATTATTAATTAGTGAACGAATCGCGTAACTAATTTAAATTCTATGCGCACTTCGAAGAATACACGAATATACATATTTCGACAAAAACTAGTAGACCTTATAATTAGATAACAGTATTTGGTTTATAAAATAACAATACAACGTTGATTAATATTCATATTAAATGGAAATTATCAATTAAATATAGGTAACTTTACGAATACGAATTCATAGAATAAATGAATAATTACAGGAATTTCAGTGTTTTAAATTAAATTAAATTTAACGCATGTATAAATAATATGATATTTGTCTTATACCATATTACATTAGTTCTACCGACTATGTAAATACACAGTGAATTTGTGTCATGATTCAAATTCCAGAAAGTATATCTTGTCCAGAAGTTTAAGTTTCATTTGTTATTAACTTTTATTTTACTTGTAAGGGCTTATTTCTTTTTCCTAATGAATTAAAAAAAAAATTCACTGTTTTATAATATTATTAAATTTAAGTACATAATATATATTATAAAGGAAAATTATTGTTTACGAGTAACGATTACAATATTTTTCAAGGTTTACTACGTAGGTATTCTTATATTTAACCCACGATTTTTGTTCATAGAGTAGTTTAAATATACTTGAAGAAAATTGAGATACGACCAACCTTTAGAACATTTCATAAAACGTTTGAAGGAAATAATATACAGTATCTAGTTTTAATAAAATGCCACATGTAACGGTACCAAAACAATTTAAAATATTATGATCTACCAGTGACGCTAAGTCCAATTTGTTGTAACCATAAAAAAAAAAAAAGTACCAAGAGATTTCATTGTATAAATTATATTCATAAATCACATTTTACGAGTACTTGCACAGTCACACGCGATCAGCGTGGCTGTGGCATGTTGTACTTACATGTCAGCGCGTATCAAAGGTCTGACGATGGGTTGAGCAACATTGTGTCATGTCATACATGGTCTGTCGTAAGTCCCGTTCGAAACGAAATAAGGGAAAAACCTTCATTCTTGGAATTATTAATATAATTAATTTCTATAATCGAAATGCCGGATTCAACATTTATGCGGTCCCCTATAGGAAGTCAAAATTTCGGGGCCCCTAGAAAATTATTACCCACATACGTATTTAATTTCACTACTGAAAAATGAAAATACGCAGTTTTAATGATAACCGACTAGTTTTGATAACAATATTCATTAAATTACTTCACTAAAAGTCCTAGGTATTCGTTTACAGAAAAAATGAATTATTTTATTTAATTATTTAAAAATATTTTTACTTTTTCTACCAAATTAGAAAAAAAATTATTCGAAATGATAAAATATAAAAAAGAAATAATTATTGTAATGTTTAGTTAAAAAAATATGAACTTCAAATATTTACGGTGGTCGATGGAACTCTGAAAGGTTGCAACGCACGACGGTTTTAATGATCGCCGCCACCTGATATTATACAATAAATATTGCCAAGTGTTTCGATTAGATCCAAAAAACATATTCTACTGCATGCAATACAGTATAGCAATTGCAATATTAAACAATAATATTCGTATTATCGACTTTTGTTCCATTAATCCGTAAATGAAATGTATAGTTAAAGAAAAACAAAAAAAAAAAAAATGGTTTTCCGTTTTAACTTTGCCTCATAACGAGTGGAGCTCATAGGCGGGTGCCTGCTTCGCCTAACGGGTAATCCGGAACTGATTATATAATGTATTTAATATGTTAAATTAAATGAAACTTAACAATACGTTGGGGGTGACTCTTATTATTGTCACTTATTATTATTATTTGCGGTCCATTGTCTGCGTTTAAAAGTTTTTTCTCTTATATTTTTTCGCACAAAGCAATATTATTGTACGTTTCGCTGTACGAAATTATAAACGGTCGAAATGTTCAACTCCGTAAACTTTTCCACGAGGATGCGATACATTCATCTGAATAATAATATTATAATATGTATAGGACTACGCACAAAACACAATTCCACGCCGACATTGCCGTAGACTGCTGCAGCAGTATAAATTGTGTTCACAATAGATTCTGTGTAGCTATGGTACATGAATAAAATTACTAACGGCATGTAATGTGCCGACGTGTGCAAATTATATTATCTTATCTTTTTTATCGGTTTTTTTTTTTTATTACAAATCGCGTTTCACCATAGCGATTGACATCATAATAATATAATAGCCAAAGGACTGGCCAAGTGGTGCGATAATCAGGGTCAACACGTACGTGCGGGAGTGGTGGATTCAATACACTCGCCTCTCAATGGATCTCGAAAGTGTTCGCTGTAGCTCTTGTAAAACACCCATTGACTAACATATTATTATTAAGATAATAAAACGTAGTGACCGATAATATCTGTTAAATAACATTTTGAAAAAAAAAATCGTAATAATAATATTCTCGTTTGAAAAAGAGTCTTTTTAATAACATGTTAAATTAAATAAATATACCTAATGATAAAACCGTTAGACTTTGAAATTAAACAACCCATATAGTATTCATGTTTGTCATTTATCTTTCCATCAAATCATTTATAAATTTATGATATACCTATTTTGAAATGTAACTAGGACAATTTTAAATTAATAATGTGAAACTACTTAAATAAATAAATAAATAAAAATAAAAAAGAGACATTTTTTATTGTAAGGAACCCATCATAACATTGTCTCAGTTTAGTAAATATTATATTACAATTTAAAAGTATACCTAAACATTTACATTTTTTTTTTTTTTTAATGATCTTACGGTCTTAAAATTATGATAATTTTCCTTTTTTTATGTAAAAATAACAAAAAGTGATAATACGATATCATTTAATGTATCGATTGTCCATCATGAAAGTATGTTTTCAATGACACTAATTTAAAAATGATAATATTCAATTTAACCAATTTTACAATAAGTACATGACGTTTTAGTTATCACTCGACATAGTCATAGTTTACATAACTGACAAACAAATTACTTTTGGTTAAACAGTGTTATTAAATCGGGAATCGCTTGTCCGGGATTAATAAATATATAATATTATTACATTTAAAAATTAAAATTGTTTTCAGAAGGTTCAAAATAGTAATAATAACATTTTAGTTGTACGCTTATGTTTCAAAACCGCAAAACAGAAGAATTATTTTATTGAATATTGATGCTATATTGAAATTAATAAATGATTAATAGCCTTTTATACATTTTGATAGAACAATATTTTCGGTTCGTATTAATTAAAATTGGAGTATTGTAATTGTTTTCCGTGTAATCAAAATTGTCAATCAAAACTCAAGACCAATAATTTAATATCTAAGTGCATATTTTTTTGTTTTTTGTATTGTTTGTGTCAGATTGATTAGAATCAATACATTTAATTTCTTTAGTAAACCACCCCGTCTGACGGTATTCCTGTGAAATTAATTATCACTAACTTACACAAAAGGCTATACAAAAGGTTTCATAGTAAGAGTGGAGATTGGCATTCTTTAGTATTGCCAGGATGATTAAGTTTCATTGTTTTTTTTTTTTTACTTCCCGTTTAATGATTTAAATGAAATTTATAAAAAAAATATATCGTTTTGCACTAGTTTTATAACACGTTTTATAATAGGTGATTTTATTTTTATAATTTATGTAATAATATATGATATCCATATTATTATATTTGTAACAAATATTATAACAATGTCTCAATAAGTTAAATAGCTAGTGGACTGTATTTCAAGACAATACAATATTGTTGCTTAATAATTATTGCGTATTATAACTAATTATATCTAACTATATATTATAATATTTTATGACCTACACACCATTTTTTTTCATATTAAAATCCCTCTAAGCACATGTTTGGGGCTTACAAAAGTTATATTACATACATAAGTTTACATGAAATGTCTTATATTAAGCTCACACATTGATAAGTTTTTTAGTTTGCTTAGGTAGTTCATTTTGAGGAGATAAAAAATTTGACTGTTGACTCTGTCGAACCTTGAGATTCTAAGTGATTCGTAGATATTAAATTTGTTCTGAGAGATAGTTGGATATTTTGTTGTGCCCATTGTAGGATGTAGCATTGTTGGAGCAAATCTTGTAATATTTTCAATAACTTTTATACTATTAGTTATTACCGATATGTACCTATATTATAATTACATTTCGGTGTAATTTTCTGAGCAAGTGGTTTGGGTTATATTATTATTATGACGTATATGTTTAAAATTAATTGAATATTAACAATTGTAGTTGTATACGGTTAATAATATCATGATGATCATGTTCGCTGTAAATTGCAATAATATTGTTGATCTCATACGGCGTAATAGATGCACCGACATCCAAAGCAATATCGTTTCGTATTTCACAATTAAATGATCACTAATCACTATAATACTGTCTGCAGCAGTGACTCGAAGCAATTATATTACGAATACTTTTCTCGTTTGATTTTGGATAATGATATTATCTGTTTATATTTCCGACTCGCCGAACCGACCTGCGATTTTCATTAACATTACATAGTGATAATATTTGCTCCTTTTGATTTCTGGTTTTCGTTCCACGAAACTGATCACAAACGGTAGTCGGACAGGCAATTATTATAAAACCAAATCAACGTCGCAAGAATTCACACTAAAAAGTAATTAGAAGGCAAAATTATATCAGTTGTAGTCGTCACCGTGGTCTGATAGCCATCGAAATACCGACTGATTCGCCAAACATGCTAACTTATATATTTTGATACATAAATATTATTCAGTTGTTCAAATTATTGTCTTTCAACATTTCAAATAAACTAAATGACCATATTTTCGTATGTGCTTGGATTTTAATATGACATTTTAATGAAGTATATTCTTTGGTGGTACAAATGGTTTATTACTGTAAATATAATATTGTTAAACTTATGATTTTTGTATACCTGTATAAAATAAATAAATTCATAAAATAAGGGTTGAACGATATGCTTGGTGAATCGACCAGAATACAAGGAGATCAATTTAATTGTATACACTCATAATTTAAAAAAGTTAAACATTTTTAGAAAATACATATTTATTTTTACACAATTTGATGTCATTAAAAAACAACATTTTTTACTAAAAAAAGTTATATTTATTAAAATTGTTATTGTTACCATTTCTTAAGTTTTCACATTTTTGAACAACAACATAAATAATATTTAATTTCAAATGATGCTATATAAACGAATCACCTTGTGCATAAGGCGAGTTCATCGAATTTTCCAGTTTTCACATTTAAACAAGATGGCCTACGCCCCACCCTGACTATCGGTAACACCGTTGTAACATAATTCGTATTGGGTCAGTTTTAAAGTATTCGCTTCAACATTTTTTGTAACGATACCCATCGTTAAAACTGTAAAATGGATGTTTTTTACTGTTGATAAATGCAACAGGCAAGACGTATGTTAGACGAGACTGGTCATGAGCCACCCCTTATCATGACGTGATATCAACCAAAAATTATGTCGGATCTGACTATTTTTTTAGAAACAGCGAATATATTTATCGATTAGTACACTTTGTTCCATCACGCCAAAATATAATAATTGTATTAAAGTAACGTGCAGAATTTGCACACAAATAGAAATAAACGGAGTTGACGTTTGATCGACGGCGGTGCACCCTGGGTGCTAGTGTTGTGCTGTGGCTCATAGTTGTCTATGAATTAAATTTCATATCCGTTTAACTGTCGTAAATTATAATAAAAGTCAAAGTTAAAATTTAATAATTTATAATACAGTTATTTAATTATTTAAGTTTAGTTTTATCGATATTCTATATTATAGGTATGACGGGGTAGTGCTGTGTACATTGATTTCCACCCTTTCATAATAATATATTATTATATGCATGCTTACACACCGTTTATACAACAACTCAGTACAGTAGTAATTAGAAGAGCCATTAGTCGGATCAAGTCACATACTGTCATCTATAATTATGTCCTATGCTCTACCCGAGTGTAGTGATTTCGTATCTGAAATAGTAGGGTGAGATTGTTTGCTACAGCATTTACGGATCTCGAGTAAAAATAATGACAATGCACTTTTAAGACGATCAACCAAAATCCAAATAACAGTACTTCACAACGATTTAACACGAAAATTAACAATAATGAACAAAGATAGTTTTGCAATAGAAACAAATGGAAAATAAACCTAATAGTTAATTCAGAAAAATAAATAGGTTTTGTATAATCTCTTACAGCCGATTAACCAAAAGCGAGTGTAATAATTAAAAATTGTATCTTCATATATTTGTATCCATGTAATATAAAAGTTGTGACTTAGTTCCTAATTTTTTAAGTCTCGCACCGAAATATTATCGAATTCGATAAACCAAATAATCATAGTATAATAATGCACATTACCCAGAGTTGATATAGTAGCCACAGTGTCAGCATAAATTTATTGAGTTTTGTTAAAATATGTTGGTAAATTGTATATTTTTACCACCAACCCCTTCAATACACCGAAGTGAGCCGCAGAGCCAAAGGGCTAACTCTTAACTCGGTAACATAATATATTAATTATAATATTTGTGTTGAGGACTTGAAGTCTTACGATAATACAATCACCCGGACCCGGCCAACAGGCTACTCAGCCACCCACCCATTACAGACGTCATAAAGTAATTGCCCCAAAGTTAAATTAATAATCCTATATCCACCCGCCACTGAGTCTTTGACATTAACTTGATTGTTTTTTATTGTGAATTCAATAATTAAAATACCCCAACTATCACTACCTATAAAAAATGATACTGTAAAAATAAAACTTATTTAATGACTAAATAGTAACGTATTTACATATAGCCATTTACCCCTCAATGTGATTAAAGAGAGTGTTTTATAATTTCAACTGAGAAAACAATTAATTAAAATCCACTAATTGCAAAATATTTTATTTGAAAAATCGAAGACGTAATCAATCATAGATGAGTTAATTTTTATTACTGGTAGGTACTAGTGAAGTAAGACGAATCACCAAAACCCCCTTCTGATGATCTACTTTATATTAAATAGTTGTACATACGTAAATAAAATATAAACTGATACGAGATGTACGCAGAAAAAAGTTTCAAAATTTTTTTTAGAATTCAGTTATTGATAATTATAACATTTTTATTGTAATAAGCTTGATACATGAAAATCAAAACATTCCGGAGCATATTAAACCATCTAAAACACCCTCAGGGGGCGTTTTTGACTCTTACTTGTATTGTTGACGTAGTAAACGATATACGTCTTATACGTAATTTGCTCTTTTTTCCAGTAAAATGCGAATATACATAATAATAATATAATGTATATTAAATAGGTATATTATAATACTAGGAGTATTATAGTGGCAAGGTACTGTACACACATATTATATTATATTGAGAGACTGAGAGAGAGTAAGACACACACACAGATTGACAGACCACGCCATCACAGTATCCTAATCATTTGCGGCGTATCTATTATAGCCTGTTCGGACCCTAAACGTGTTATATTCCGTTGTTGACTAGTTCCAGTGTGTACCTATTCTGTGGGAGGAGGGGGTCGAAAATGATAGAAAACATACACTGTATAATACGCCACCGACCGTTCACAAACAACGACGGTGAAACCTAACCGAAGAGCGCAATGACAACACACACGCCGACGTGCGATGTCGTATATTAATCCCGTTTGGGCATTATTATTATTATTATTATTATACCCGTCCGCTTATCGTTGTCATGTGGGTGTAGGTGGGGGGAGAGTGTGAACCGGAAGGGAAAATACGTGGGCATATATTGACACGCGGTACTCCAACCACAGAGCATATGAAATTCACATCAATTCTGGAGGATCTAGATTATGATAAATCCTCGACATCATAATATGTGCAGGCTGCGTAAACATCATATTATCCGAAAAATGAAATATTCCAATGATTCAATAAAAATACATTCACCTTTTGGAAAAAAAAAAAAATGAATTTACAAATCGTATACCATTTTGTCGTGTTATTGTATGGCGAAAGATTGATACAATCACATTTTCCTTAGATAGAACGGGTTTGTACATTTTGTAAATATAACAAAAAAAAAAAACATAATAAAAATTTCTATTTTCCTTATTTTCCGGATATTATATGTTGTTCCTCGAATAATTTACACCTTCAGTTGTGTTCTTCCAGGTACCCCTACTTGTAACCGTATTTTACAATATGGAAAAAAAATGATAATATGTAGTCGGGTCTCGTTCTAAACGTCGTGGACAAGTGTCCGTTGTACACATTACTCTAGGTACGCGTGTATCAATAATAAGGCAACTGAAAAAAAACACTATTCACTCACGTCGATTTTGGCTCCGGGAATCGTGTGATTGATGTACGGCGGTACTCGTCCTCTTATATACTGGAACAATTTGTCACCGCTCTTGGTCCACTGGACCTTGTAAAGTTGGTTTTCGACCACCGTGTGATTGCATCTCAGCACCACTGTCTCTCCCAGTTTGGCGTATCTGGGAACGATGGCCGACAGCTCAAACAGGTCCTTGCAATCTGAAAACGAAAAGTCATAAACGTCTCGTTGTGACACCGCGGTTAAGTGTATATCATTATTATTTAGGTACATTTATATATGTGTACACGGGATGGTATGTGTGTGTGTGTGTGTGTGTGTGTGAGTTGTGGAGAGGGGGGGGGTGTAAATGTGTGCGTCGCGTTTCTGTTCGCTCGGCGCTTCTTTGACGGAAGTTACGAAATTTTAACTCATCCCGCAGTTCACGCTATGAATTTATAAACGCGTCGCCGTGTGTATATATTTGCATTACAGAATTTAGTCTTTTGCGCTGCACAAAGACGGCAGAGCTACAACAAGACTAGTATGTACGATGCACGATAAATTATTTATGTCAAAACAATTTTTCAAAACTTTTTCTGTTTATTAAAAAAGAAGTGTACGTAATACATTTTAGATGAATACTCAACTAAACACTACGGCTGCTCAATTATACAAAATCCGTTGTTTTCTCACTTCAAAGAAGTAAAGGGACTTTACGAGTTCTAATAAATATATATATATATATAATAGCTAGCAACCGTGTTATACGTGGTTGGGATAGCCATAAAACTTTTGATATAATGTACAAACTTCACAATCAGTTCTATAAATATAAAAAAAGTAATCTGCTGATTATATTAATTTAGTTATTATCCATAGGTCGGTATATTATAATGAAGTTTTGAAAATTAAAATAGTTTTACAATGTATATATATTTTATTTTAAATATTGCACTACATTATTAAAATTTGTATAAAATAACTTCAATATATTATAAACATATTCTTATATTAGATTATTTAAAACATTTATTAATATTTTTGCTTTTCTTTGACTTTGAACTTGTATTTAAAGTATATTCGATATTCCGTCCATAAATCTATCAAGATTATCATATTTAGATAATTTTAATTCTCAGCATCTTGACTTCCAGTTCAGAATCCAGATGAGCAAAAACTAAAACATAATTCATAAATATTATGATGGTTTCCTCTAATTTTGAGAAAAAAGGATAGATTTATATTTTAACGATTATCAAATACAATATTATTAGGTATGTAAACTGATAAGAACCAATTGCCATTCGAACAGTGATCACTAAGTAAAGTATGACGAGAACGAGTGGTATATTCTTTAAACTCTGATGCTGACAACTTTTTATTATATTATGTTTTGCTATCTTTTTATGAAAGTTTGGTTGCACTTTTGGAATATTTGCTTATATATATATATATAGACACAATACAATACTAGAGTAGAACCATATAGGTAAATTCCTTTTTAAAAAATAGAATTCAAAAAAGTCGCACAAGTCATTATATGTTATATAAGTTAGATATTATGAACTGAACTTAACGTTGTTTGATGACATAAAAAAAAGATAAACATTTGATGAGTAAACGCGGTATCATGATAAATCTAACAATGACGAGGTGTTGGTACTGGTATATTATTATGGTATTAAACATGTAAAAGATAAAATAAATTGCACAAGACATTATTTGGTTGGTAGGAAAACGAAATGATAAAAAAAAAGTGTATCACGTCATAGAGTTTAAAGATAACAATTTTAAATTCAATATGCATTAAACCTGCGGTATCTCTAAAATATTGTAAGTTTGTTTAATAATTACGAAGTTATCGATATGCTATCTACCTACAATACCAGTTGTATTGTTGTAATAATGTGGAGTGGATGTAGTCTATTATTTTTCTTAATGTGTCAAATACGAATTGTGCTTATGTCTTAAAATATCAAATTGAATTGTTGAAAGTATAAACATTGTTAAAAACCCATTGATCTAGTACCTAGTACCTAGGTTAACTTTCCTAACGTGACCTCTATATATTGCAATACTTTTTATTTTATATTCACTTAGAGCTATAAGAACTGAAAAATTTGAATTATTTACCTAAACAAATTTAATACAATAGCAAGGATATTTTTTTAATTGCTTTAAAGTTTAAATAAAACATTATAACATTATAACATTAAAACATTATATAATACATTTAAATGAATCTTTGTAGGTAAAAATCTAATTTTTTTTTTAATATATTATTTTTAGTTGAACTAAAACTGTAAACATATAAAATATGTATATGCCTCATTGACTCGTTTTACATTAAGTAACTGTAAGTTTGTAATAGGCATGTGTGAGAATTATACATGACGTAATATTGACATTTTAAAATACTGCGAAATGTTATTTGAAGTCATGAAAACATTTTATTATATTATTTAATATTTTGACACCTATATCAAATATATTTTTAAGTAAAATCTATAGACGTTTTCATTTAAGACGTTAATAAAATATGATAATATTATACTGTTTGAAAGTAATGGTTTTCTGAAAATGAAAAAAAAACCTATTCAATATATTTTTTAATTTACTGGAGAAATGATAGTTCTGTTTCACGTGTTTATTGCTTTTTGTATGGATTGAATTATTATAATGGCTTAATGATTCAAAAATGTATTTTTGAGTAGGTATACCTATGGCACCATTAATTTCGGCGAGCACCAGTCATGAGATGGACACTAGAGCAAATTATCAAAATCACCTTGCCATATTATGTCCATAGGTCCGTAATATTATAATATAGGTAGGTCTTCGGATGTAGACGAGCGAGATGGTCATAAAAAAAAGGTTCTTCTAGAACCTTATGGTCCACCCACGCCCGTACATAACATAATATAGTGGTTTGCAATCGCGTCGATTGAACACGCACAAACGTTAAAAGTGCTACTGTAGAATAATTTAAATTCCCCAAGAGAACCAAGGAAACGTTTTTCAGGTCACCATTCAATTTCATTTAAAATAATAATAAAAAGAAAAAACAACCATTTCCTCCTGAGTAAAAAAATAATTCCAATGTAGCATAATACAATATTATGTAGTCATAAGACGAATATATTATTTTGATCGCGCTGTATACATTTTTCAATGGATCGAGTATGATACCCACCATGAATTTTGTAATGGTACATTTTCTTCGTTTTAATTTCGTACTCTACAAAAAAACAATATACCTTATATGTATTCAATGTTAAGCACCAACTACTTTCTTTGAACGATAATTTGAAATTTCAAATGCAAATCAACAATAATTAAGACATCATAGGTGTATTATGTTAAGTTGAAAAGGAACGAAACGAAGATTATTATGTAAAAAAAAATAATAAAACAATATAAGTGTTTCTATAACTAATACACATAATATCGAATTCGTGTTATTTTAATTCGTATTATTAATACGAAAATTATCGACACAGAATGTCCTTCTTCATTGACACAGAAGAACGGCAGACAGACTTATAAGTATATATTACTACCGGTAATACAAATTAAATTGTTAGAAATTAGCATATTAATATCAATGTTGGATTGTGTGCGCCAAGTTTATTATCACCTTGAATTTAATTCAATTTTAATGCAATGGTACACAATAAATTATAATATATAGTACAATATAGATATGGTCACACGTTCAGAAACGATAAAAGATTCATTACCTAATTATTACAGTTTGTCTACATCATAAAATTAAATTAATTATTCCACTATTGGATTCGGTATTACGTTCGGCTTCTCCTTCCCATGGGCTTGTTATACTGTGCCGGTAAAGAAGAAACTGTGCCATAATTGTTATTAATATTCATTGGACAATATCATACTTTTGGAATCATAACATCAAACTCGTACATCATCAGGTCATATAAATCGTTATAATTTAATTACGTATTTTTAAAAGTAAAGTTCATTTTAATAATAAAATAACATTTTATCGGATAAAGTCTCATAATATTGAACTATATATATTCTTTAACCGATATTATTTTGATTTTACATTAAAAACTAATAATTACTTATTTAAAAAAGAATAACTTTTTTGTAACTTTTTATATAATCAATTATTGTATCGAATCATAACATTATGATATTATAATATAATTCTTACAATTTTAAGTATATTTACTACAATTTAGTTGCTATTTTAGTTTTTCTAGATTGTACCTACTAACTTGTGTTATCTAATTCACATTGTTTTATAAAGATTAGTATCTCCAGAGAGAGTGCCAGTATTCTTTTTTTTTTTGAGAAATAAATAAATAATAGTATGATTAGTAGAAATAGAATTTTTAAAACCTATAGGTAGTCTTTATAATATTTTGTTACTAAGTCTTTGGCAAGAATAGGTACACGATAAAAATAACAATTTATTGTTCAAATTCCTTGATTAAATATTCATTTTGAGTAAATAAATATACATATATTAGTTGGACATTTTATGATTTTAAACATTTAACTCTATAGTGTTGAACATACTATAAAATTATGGATTTCATTTCCACCATTAATATTTCAAGTTAACAGAATAAATTATTGTACTATCAATGTTATTAAGGTTAGTGGATATACGTGGTGAAGATGAATTCCGAGTTATTCACCAAAAGCAGTAAGCTCTTTAATTATATGATTTAAGTAATAACATAATACATCCAAAGATACCGAAGGGTATCTCAAAACTGAGTAAAAATTACTGAAAGTTTAATTTTTAATCTGAAGGAAATATTCTTAAATTATATTAATCTATATGATTAACATCATATAATTTTATGAATAATGAATTATGTTATACGGTTATCAAAAGGCTCGTATTAAAATATTCTATTTCAAATTCGAATCCGAATTCTCCATCAGTTAAGATTGTACTGCAAATCAAAAGTAATAATAATAAAAAAGTTTTCTGATTAGAAATATAAACAATAACGTAATAAGTTAAACATTATTTCTAGTACACATGACATAGAAATGCAAATTTTTCCCATAAAAATAGAAAAATAAATCGAGATTAAACAATCGATCATTTTTTAGTCCATACGATTATACAATTTTTATTTTAGTGATGAGTTGTGTTTTGATAATTTAAGCCAATCACACAGTTCTATAGGATCGCTCAAGTTGTTTTGGCATTGTCGTAAAAATGAATGTCTGAACAAAAGTAAGCATACAACAAATTGTAGTTAATTATAATTGTAGTCCGAGGTCTTGGCGAACATTAAGATAATAATAGACTCGACTACAAAGGGTACAGATATTTGGTATGAACATATGAACCGAACTGTAAAATGATAAAGCTCTTATGATTTATTAAGACATACTTCTTGAGCTAATTTACCATGAATAAACGTGTAAGATTATTATGTGCAATAAGAGTTCAACCTTAATTATAAAAATGTGTTCCATTATAACATACGTTAAAAAAAAATAATTGGCATATTTCCTTTGTAAATTAATAATGTACCGTGTTTATGTGTAAATGAATACTGTTGTATAATATTCGTTAACAAATAAATGTCGAATAATATGTTATCTAATAATAAATAGATGCCCATCACTATTAATTGAATATTTTATGTCTTATAAGTTGTAAGAAAATTAGTCGTTTTATTTATTATACATAATATTTCCTACATGAATTAAGACCAACTAATAAAATCACCTAAATATTTTAATCCAACCAAAGTAGTAAGTATCTATACTATCTATTGGGGAAGCAGATTAACAAAACGGGCTTTAATGGAAACAATTTGTACCTTCCGATTCGGCATGTATAGGTATATAGTTTTATATTGATTATTTTACTTTTTATAATAAATTAATTTTGTTATCGAAACTTGGATACGCTTTTATAGCTAACTTTATACGTTGGTAGTACAATTTCTACTAATATTATCAAATACATTCATATAAACTTCATTTAGAGCAAAATGTATGTGAAATGTCAGGAAAATACATACAATCTCCAATCTCCTGACTCCACGTAGGGGGAACTCGCCTAACCATCAGTGAGATAGGCGTCGACAGCGCTCCCATAGTGATCTATCTTCCCAATTGGTAGGGACATTTTCAACCAGCTAATTTGTCAGACTTTAAAAAAAGTCGTAAATTAAAAAGTTGTATGCAGTTGAATGATATTTATATTATTATCGGAATTTTATTAATTTTTGTTATCAAGGAACAAATTATGTAAACAAAAATATTGTACTGTTCAGATGATGTAAATATTATTATTCTTCCTTTTTTTTACAATCTATCTTATGTAATAATACAATAAGTAAATTTGATAAAGAAAATTTTTTGACATGAGTTCACATGATAAGAGAAAATAACCGCTGACATTCCTCTAGTTATGTACAAGTGTATAATTAACTTTGACTAATAATCAGAGTTCAAGTGTATAAACCATTCTTATTATTTTTTAAGATGTAAATATGAAAATTTAAATTTAAGTATAATACTATAACAATATGGTATTATACAATGTTGTATCTTTTTAGTTTCTAATTTTATTTTTAAGAAAAATGTTTGAAGTTTGATATCATAATATAGTTATGCAAATGTATACAACAAGGGTTCAAATATATGTATAGGTATATTATATTCTTTTTTACAAATATAATGATCATGGAACTTTTTGTTTGATTCATTGTTGTTATGACAACTTATATTAATTCTTTAATGAATAATTTAACGTAATATTTTACTTAAAAACAATTAATTAGTAATGTTAGTATTACAATATAAGTAAATTAAAATATTTTTTTCTTGACCAATATTACAATTAATATATAGGTAGGTAGGTTGAGTTTTAACTACTTAGTGATGATCATAATAATAAATAATAATATCAGCTGGTTAAGTGTGTATGATAAAATAAATAATAAATTGCTTAATATGAAGTAATATTATGATGTTTTTATAAAATCTTAGTTATAGTACCTACTCAACTAGTTAAATTGATAGTAAAAACTTCTCTTGGTCATATTATATAGGTAGTATTTTATAAATGAATGTTTTAATTTAAAAATATTTTTAGTATTTAGATAGTTTTAAAGATTTAATTAGTGTTTTAATACAATAATTTTTTTCAAATGGAAATCCAATAATAAAAAATATTATAGAATAACATGATAAAGAAATATCACAAAAATATGTATTAAGTATTATATTATATCACTATGTCTTGTTCACGTGTATAGACTGAAGTAAGAAATTTAAATTTACAAAACTATTGCTTTAAAATAATATGAAATTATGAAGAAATGTTGAAACTGCTCAGAGTAAAGGGAGCAACTTACCAGAATTAAAACTAATTAAAACTAATTTCGGTTTGTTGGTTATAGTCCAGGTAGGTTTCTATTACATCGAAACCCCAAGCCATTTATATTAATCGTAGGTTTGCCGGTACACATGTCAAAACATTTAACCGGGCTATGGAATTTTTAAATATTCAATATAATTATCTATGAAGATAATTAACTTCTAAATTGTATTAGAGTATAATCAGTGGTGTATTGGTGAACAAATTTTTGGGTATACGCACTTTAAGCTATATTTTATTGCAAAAAAAAAAAATTTTCTCGCTACGCTCGAAATATTACTTACATAATACATTACAAGCTACATTAAATAATTTGTACTATAATCTTCGCTTTTTCTATTTTTATACACAGTATTTCAGTTTGTATGTTAATTGTTAATATACTTTTAACTATTATTCAGATACTCACTCAATAGATAAAATTGTATTTTATTTATTAATAAAATTTTTGATTTTAAAAAGGTGATGTCTTTCACAAATTAATCATATATCTAAAAAGTAGCAAATTCTAGACAAATATTAACAGCTGATTGGTAACTTAATTTATTAATAAAAAATTTATAACAAATACAACTTTAAATAATTTATTACTAATTAGTAGTTACTATAATATTTTCCACAAACTTATTTTTTCTTCTTGGACTTTAAACTGTTTTGGATTAATAGTAATTAATTTAGTGTTTGTTGAAAGTTGAATATTTTTAAATACCATAACTTCTTTAAGTTTAGAAACTTCAGACATATGTTCTCCCGGAGTAACTTTAAATGATTCTATAATCCTTATCGTTCTTTTAATGTGCTTTTGGCCTTGAATAAGTGTAGTTGTACGTTCTTGTTATTGATTAGATAGTATAGATAGTTCTTGTAGACAATCACACATCAAACCCAGGTCTGATACAAATTCTGGACTTGCCAATCTTTTTTTTAGGCCAAGATATTTGTTTCTAGTTTTAGAATTTTTAGTTGAATCATTTGCAGCATTACAAAAATGATTACACAAAGCTGGAAATGTTTTCCATACAGCATTAATGGCCCTCCAGCTACTGGCCACCCAACGGACATCAAGAACTCTACCCAGTTTCAAAAATAAAATATCTAATTCATTACACACATTTCTGAGTTCATTTTGATTCTTAGGAGAAGCGTTGTATAAGACGTATAAAGAATCAATGAAAGATTTAAAGTGGTTTAAAGCACCTATGTCTTTTATTGAGTCATGAACTGCCAGTTCTAAACGATGGTTTAGGCAGTGCAACAAAACCAGTAGGCAGTTGTAATCATACCGCATAGTTTTATTTATAAATAATCGTTTATCTATAATCGTGGTCACGGTCATCTTCTAAGACCGTGATCGTGGTAATAATGCCATATTGTATACAAAAAATATTCTCGATTAAGTTGTGATATCAACAAAAATATTCAATAATAAAATTAAAAATATATTATCAATATTGCATATTTTATCAGTATACGCT